TTGGTAAGTGAATTTTGTCCCATTTTATGAGGGTTTTTTTTTGCTACAGTTGTTAAGTGAATCACTGCAGTTGTTAAGTTAGTAACAACCATCAAGATGATTGTTAAGTAAATCTGTCTTCTCTATTGACTTTGCTTGTTAGAAGGCTACAATAGGTGATCACAAGACCCTGAGACATTTCGATGTTTCCATCATGATTTACAGAGACATAACAATTTGATTACAGAATGTGAATCTTAATCATTATAAAATTAGGGAGTCAAGTGTGATGATAGATATTTAGAATCTCAGGGCATGAGGACAGCATTGGAAGGGAAAATACTTATAAAAACTACAGCGCAGACAAACCTTGTATGCTCCAATAAAATTTGTTCAGCTTTTTTCAAAGGATTTAGCAATAATAACAAACATATTGTTCCCGCTGTTAGTAGTTTAAAATACATCAATGATATTTCAGAAGAAATGAATCAGTTAGGAGGACAACAATGAACAACCTGGTTTTGAATTATTTGCATGCTTTTGAAAAAGACACACATACAAGTAATATTTTTAACTTTGTTTTTATAATGTGATTGTTGAAATATTTTGATACATTTTGCTAAAATAAAAGAAACAGAACTGCAAAAAAGTTATTTCTTAGAGGACTAGGACAGAAGATAAGAAACATAGGATCCACTGCAAGATGCAAAATATTCCTAACCATCTTCAGCAGGGCTCTTCTTAAGCTTTTCTTCCAATGCATTATCTTCACATAGACACATATACAAAAGAGAAGAAAAAGTGGGAAGAATACTTGGGAAATAAGTAATATATTACATTCAGAAAAGAGAAGAGTAAATAGATTTATCTTGTTTGCCCCGTTTTATGATTTTTCTTGTTCAGTAAATCACTGCAGTTGTTAAGTTAGTAACATGGTTGTTAAGTGAATCTGCCTTCCGGTGGACAAGAAAGGCTAAAATTAACATTATTGCACAGCCATCAAGATTAGTAAGCTCCCCCTATTATCTTGGTAACATTTTAATGAAATTTAATCCATGTACTGTATGCTGATTTGTCAACCCAGCTCCTGTTTACCCCAATTTATTTATGCCAAAATATTAATGACTTTGCTAAGATTTGTCATATTGTTTTGTAATGTTTAAGATCCATTCAGATCACAGAGTCATGGAGTGGAAGGAACCTTAGAAGCAATGCATCCCAATCCTGCTCAGTGCAGGATCCAATCAAGCATTGCATGACAGGTTATTATCTAGTTTTTATTTGAACAAGTCCAGTGAAGGGGAAATTACTTCTTCATGTGGAAGCCTGTTCTCTTGGCTAACAGCTCATACAGCCAAAAATATAATTTTGGCAATTTGGCCATTCTTTCAGATAAATTATACATGGTGCTAGAAAATACTTTCAGTTCTGTAAAAATTTCCAAAAATTTGCTATGTATGGCAAAATGCACTCATTATATTATTGAATTCTTAAAATCTCCCAAATCCATAATAAAAATAGAATGGAAATTTTTGATTCCATCCCTGGTGACATTATTTTGATATCAGGTATGTCTGGAAGCACTGGAAAGAATTATGTGCTAAAAAGTAGCATGAGTTACAATACTTGCCTCCAAACTCCTAGCAGAAATCAAGTTTTATAATGCAGGAAGAAGTAGGGCAAATGGTAAACCCCGTGCTTTCCTCCTTCAACTATTTGAAACAGAGTTTCAGTCCTTTCCCCCTCTCCATTTGCAAATGAGAAAAGAATATAAGCAACCACAGGGGTCATAGAGAAGGTCTTCCACAAAAATAAAGAGCCCAGAATTCATTCTGTTTCATTAATTGTCAGTATTTATAAAACTATCAGGAGTGTTTACAACTTATAGTTAAAAGAAGTAGAGATGCTGGCTGTGATGATGTGATTCAAACACTCCTTGTTTTTTTATGAGCAACACTAATAAAGTTCATTGAGCTATCCCACCATTGTGACCATGGTGTTTTTTGATCACATCCTACAGTCAGCCCTAAGAAGATTTGAAAAAATGAAGAATCAAGATTCTTGCAATTCAAATGTATTTCCTCAATATAGCTAATTTGGAGAGATTAAAGAACATAGAATTCAGTTCCAAGAACTGATTTTACTTTGGCAGAACAGAAAATAACCAAGCTCACCTATTTATGTTCTTGGTTTTACAGGAATTTGGATGTCTTGCTTTATTTATAATTTTATGTAGCACCACTAGTTGGCAGCATCTACCCAACTTTGGCTTAGGTTGAAAATATAAGTAGATTCAAAGTGGCATGGGAGTGAATCAGGAAATAGGACCATTGTAGGATATGTTGAGAAGCTTTAAAAACATCCCAAACAAGAAACTCTATCTGTGTGATCACTAAGACTTAACAATGACTTGATAACATTTGATCGATCAATCAATCAAACAAACAACAAAGCAAGCAATTTTGCAAAGTGGATTGTGTAGTGCAAATTAAAGAAATTGCATAATAGACATTAACATAATTTCTTCCTTTATTGTCAGGTATCTCAGAATATGGGATGCTCTTAGCCAGGGGGAAAATGTACAATTATTTTATCCCAAAAATCCAACTGGCCCAGTGTTTTTTGGATATCATCATCTTTGTTCTTTCCTTCTTTAAATCTCTCTGCAAATCCCATAATTTTTAAGGAGACTTTGGTCTGATTCCCTAGACCCTGTCCCTACTTCAGTTAAGCCAAAGCATATGAAACTAGAGCAACAGCATATTCTTTCCTCTTTAGAAATCAAGCTTGTTTTCTTGCACTTTATCAAATATTAAGAAAAGTAATGATGTTCTAGAAAGATGTAATAATCAGCTACCCTACATCCATTAATAACATTTTCATATGTTAAGTTTGTATGCTTACAAGCACATGTGCACAGAAAAACACACATTGTGAGATTACCAATTTTCAGTGAGCTTATCCGTGAGGTACTAAGTGATCTCATGTAAAAATGTAGAAACATGAATGAATATTCCCTTAGCTCTCAGTCAGTTAAAGCAATCGTTGCAACTTTATAATTCATCAGAATTAGTACACCAGTGTTTCTAACTAGTCTTCAATGTGACTGTGAATGTTAATCCAAACATATTAACAGGCATAGTAAAGGATGGATCAAGGTCTTCTTTTCCTCATTTATTTAAAACACAAGTGAGACTCCAGTGCACTGAAAGAAAATACCTAGGGGACACTTTGCAACTTCCAAAATTCTGAAATGCAATTTCAGAACTGGATATTGAGCAAAATATTCAGTTTTGTGACTTTAAATCGTCAGTATCTGACTTTCATGCTTAAATTGTTTCATGAAAGCTCCTATCAAAAGAACCAATATCCAACTATGAGCATATTTTATATGCTATTATTATTATGGCATGTATCCATGACAAAAATGCAAAAGAAGATAATGCTATTTAACAAGTGATGTACAAAGTTATTATTTTTATGCAGGCTACTGGATAAAAATGGCAAGCAATAATTTTCATATTTGAATTCCTGGAGGAAAATCATTATTTTCCTGTCACAGCTAGCAGGGAATGACAGTATTTATTTTGAAGAGTAATGAAAGAAAGAAAATATAATTTATATGTTTGGAGATCAGCGTGGGCTTCTCAGAACCATTGTAGTATAATTTTAAAAAGCACCAGGGAACCATCAGAGGATTGGAAAAGAGCTGATGTGGTTCCCATCTTCAAAAGTGAAAAAACAAACAAACACCCAAACCCAAAAAACTACAGACCAATCAGCCTAACATCAATACTTGGGAAGATACTGGAAAAAAATACTCAAAAAGCAGATTGTGAACATCTAGAAAAAAAATAATTAGTTATAACTAATTTTCTGCATTGCATGAGAAAAGCACATCTTCCTTCCCCTATCCTGACCACTTTCTACAGGGGGATGATCAAGAGCATCCTGTCATACAGCATCACAGTCTGGTTTGGAAGCATCACTACTTCAGAAAGGAAGGCAGTGCAGAGTGGTGAGAATGGCCAAAAAGATCATTGGCAGTCCCCTCCCTCCCATCCAGGACATAGCACAGAAGCGCTGCTTGAGCAGGGTCTGTAAGACTATCTAGGACACTACACATCCTCTTCATGGCCTGTTTTCCTTGTTACCTTCTGGGAGGAGGCTTCGTGGTATCCGCAGCAGAACATCCAGATTCAGCCATAGTTTCATTCCATACAGCATTAACTTTGTGAACTCTCAAGCTTCCTCCTTCCATTATATATTCAAAATGGACAGTATTTAATATTTATTTGTTATGTATATGTAGGGGTGTGGGTATATGTTGTCTATAATATGTTTTAGGTTTGTGTCATGTATGTGTTTCACTTTGAGAGCAGGCAACTAAATTTCATTTTTGATGTGTGTTGTTGTGCCCACAGTAAAAACATGACAATAAAGGTTATCTTATCTTATTTTATCTTAAACTAGTGGTCCGCATGGGTTTGTTAAAAACAGATTATGCCAAACCAATCTTATTTTATTCTTTGGCAGAGTGATTAAATTAGCAGATCAGCAAAATTCTGTGGACATAGTATACTTAGACTTCAGCAAGACATTTGACAAAGTAGACCACAATCTACTTCTTGGTAAACTAGAAAAATGGGAGATAGACAGCATCACCACCAGATGGATTTGTAACTGGCTGATTGATTCTGTGTACAATTGCTTGACTTCTACTAGAAGAAAATTGACCAAGATTACTGTTGGAGGACTAGCCATTTTGGAAAGGTTAATACCTGAGGAGTTTTAATGTATCATGCTTTGGCTTCTAGAACTGAAGAAAGGAAAGGACTAAGTTCAGAAACTGAATGAGTTTTTTTTCTGGTAGATAAATTATAATTTGATTTCTAAAAGAATTTTTAAACATGAGAAGAATGGTAACATAAACTGAGATCTGAATACCATTGTTTCTACATTAAATGATCAACATACTGTTCAATGAATATATATTTGCTCTTTGGCTGGATCCAACTTACCAGAAGCAACAATAGATCTTCTTACGGTTCCAAGGGCAACGTCCCCAATATGTCTCTTCCCTATAACATTCTTTGTAAGATCGGCACACACCACCATCCGGACATCTTTTCCTGTTGGCTTGGGTAAATCCTAGAAAATTAAACAAGAAAGGTAATACTGAACATCATAAATAAAGTTCTTTCTTAAGTGAAAAAAAAAACATTTTCTAGATAGAAAATGCAGTTATTTGTGTTCAGAGCAATTCAAAACTATCAGAATGTGGATAAAGTTTTTTATGATTTCATCTCTCTCAACTATAGTAGTGTAATCTCTGTCTCACACACAGAGAGAGACACACAGACACATAGACACACATACACAGAGAAAAGTATCTTACTTGACAATGAGAGAAAGAGAATAAGACACACAAGTAAGATCTTCATGACTGTCTATCAGAGATATTACAGTATTAGTGTGGTTATAAGATGGGGAAAGGCAGCACCACAAAGAGAAGAAAAATTGTGGGAGAATAACAGATAGTTCTTTGATGGAATGTAGTGATCTGCTGGGAATCATAGCAGTAGGAACAACAGTAACATGTTTTTATTCACATTTGTAGCATTATCTTTGCTCTGAAAAAATGTTACAAATTCTCTTCCAATTGTGTTCACACAGCCATAATATGGCTTATGGCTTATTGTTTTGGATTTGGTGTGTTGTATGAACTCAGCCATTATGCATTATCTTCTCTAAAATTGTTGGGGTCCATTAATTCATGTAAATTAAAGAATAAAAATGAGCATTTGTAGCAGAAATGACTCTAAACTATTTATTTATTATTTATTAGATTTGTGTACCACCCATTTCATCTAGAGGCGACTCTAAGCAGCTTGCAAGCCTTAAAAACAGGTGAACACTAAAATGCTAAATCAATAAACACTAAAATGCTAAATCAATTGATGCTGTTTATGATTCCAGATGTTGAAGGAACTGTTGTTCATGCCACGTAGGAACCTAATAAAGTATTTCATCATTTTCCTAAGATATTTCCTGGACAAGATATGTTGAATTGGTGTATATGAAATAGCAAAGGCATTTTTTTTTTGCTTCAGGACAACATATCTTTATTGGGATCACTCAGACCTTTGGTGTTTTGATAGGAAAACAATTGAATGTCTTCAATATTCTTTCCAGAACAAAAGTAAAAGTATTTCAAATTTTCTATCAAAGGAAACAATGGAAGCTTGCTCTCTTATTTTTAGTCTATAGCCACAAAAGTAGAGAGTGGTAGTCTAGCTATTTGCCTACTCAACAAGGGAATGACTTGAAAGAAGAAAAGATCAAAAAATGTGTTTAAAATCCTCACAGCCACAAAAGCCTAACAAAAAGCAATACATAGCATGATTCATTTCCACATTATCTTAAATAATGAAACAAACATGTATTTTGTCACTTGTTAGTGACTTGTAAACTCTCTTTTGTCCTATTGCTCAAGGACTATATAAATATGTCTCTGGCAATTGGCTAGTAACATGTGACAAATAACTAAAATAGCATGACTCTTGGATTTAGAATGTAATCTGAAAACTCACTGGCAGTTAGATAATGAAGAAAGTACCTAAAACCAAATTTAAATTGATAAAAGCAACATTTAATATTAAGTATTTTTTTCCTAACTTAAAATTTTACCAACATTGGTAGTAATACATACGTAACACACTTAAACACAGCACATTATTTTGTACCAATAGAAGGCAAAGCAGATAATAACAAGATCTGGAAATGACTAAGAGCAGAAAAATTGAAGAAAGAGTCTACGCAAGACCAAATCTTAAGAATAAATGCATACAAAGTCAGAATTGCAAAGATAGCAACAGACAGCAAGTCCCACCTCTGCAAAGAAGCTGAAGAAACAGTGGATCACCTAGTTCAGTGGTTCTCAACCTTTTTAATGCCACAACCCCCCAACCGGTCATAAGTCAAGGACTTTCCCTGCCCGGGAGCATCACGCATGGGTGGTGTCACCCCCTGCGCCGGCCAAGGCATAGCTGGCAAGCAGCAGAGACGGAGCAGGCCGACTACCGGCTGGCCACCAGCTGGCCCAGCCCAAGGGAGGTAAGGCACCCGCTGGGCACCACGTGCACCAGCAACCCTCCCTGCACCCGCCAGTCTCCCACCTCCCACCCCTGGCCCTCTTTTACTTACATTTTTAGTAGTTGCTCAGCAGGGAGGGGTGGAAACTTCCAGACACCTCGCCTTTGCTGCAGACAACTTGCAGCACCGAATGGGGCTTTTGGCGGGCTCAGCAGGACAGAGACAGCCTGGACAATTCCTATTGGCTTTTGAAAGCCAATAGAATTAGACTCTATTCAAGAGATTCTATTCTATTAGCTTTCAAAAGCCAATAGAATAAAAGGGAGTAGCACAGCTAAGGAAAAGAGGAAAAAAAATGGCAGACTGCGTTGTTTGGCGACCCCCGTGAAATGGTCGTTTAACCCCAAATGGGGTCCTGACCCACAGGTTGAGAACCGCTGACCTCGTTAGCTGCTGCAAAAAGATCACACAGACTGATTACAAACAACGACATGACAAATGTAGCAACAATTGTGCATTGGAAGATCTGCAAGAAATATTATTTGTCTGCAAGCAAGAGCTGGTGGAAAAAACAGAAGTAATAGAAAACAAAGGAGCTAAAATGTTCTGGGAACTTTAAACAGACAGGCACTACATAACACACCAGACTTAAACATTGTTGATAACAAAGACAAGAAAATCCAAATAGTAGATGTTTCATTACCCAGAGACAGCGGAAGAGAAGAGTAAGAGCTGGAGAAAAATCACAAAATGCAAATAGATTTTTGCATTGTAAAATTTTTCTCTTTATGTCTAAGATTTCTGACATTGTGTTTGTCTTAGTTTCCTATATTCTCTCACTGTCTGGCAAATCTGCCACATGTAAATTAATAATGATTACCTAACTAAACATTGTTGATTTAGCAACACTGAATCTACATAAGTGTTTCAGACTAGAGAATCCATTGTAGGATATGTTAATCCATTCAACAGTCTTCAAACCCTAGAATAGAGCAAATTAATTTTAGAGATAGACAGAGACAGAGACAGCTAAGAAGCACACTATTTGAAGTTAAGAAAAAAATACAAAAAAATTGTTAATATATTGATAAAAATTAATTCATTAATTAAGGTAGACTGGCAGTTGGATTTAGCTTTAAACTGGCCAAGATTTCACATAATGCTTCTGTGGTTTTGGACTTCCATGTCTATTTTTCTTGGTAGATATTAAATAGTACATTAAACCAAATAAAAGTTTGTTTATTACAAATGTGCATCTTATTTACAAGAGAAATGTTCCACTGTGTTTAATAAAACTTACGGTCCAGTAAGAATTTTCTTTTAAGTTGTTCTTCTAGGTACATTGCCTTGAACTGATTCCTGAATAAGCATGGTTGGAATTGCTCTATATTATCTTTGATTCCATGGTTGTCATTATTGAAACCCAAGAGTTAAGACTTGAACTCTTTGCTGGAGCCTGGAATATTCCTTGCAGTTGTACAAAATCTGCCACATCTAATACTAGAATTAGGGTAACTCTAACCTTTTACTATCTGATCTGATAAAGCCTCTATGTTCTAGCACCACAAGCTGATTTATATCAGACCTTACTACTGGCCCCTCCAATTTAGACACTTTGTGGTATGCATGTTGATAAATGTAAATCCCAGTGCTGATATGTGCTCTTTCAAGGCAGACCCATTGATAGTTGTTGAATTGGTTTTTCATTCTAGCCACTGACCTCCCCTATTCCTTGGCCATGGAATTGCTATTGCATAACTCCCTCATAGACAGACATATGTTTAAAAGCAGAACATATTTCAGAGGGGTGTATAACATACACTAGGAGACAGATCAGTTTTGGAAAAGGGCTTGTGTACATGCTAAAACTGGGAAGTGATGAGTGTTTAATGATGAAAGGTGCTCAAACAACCAAAGGAGGGAAGTGAAATAGACACTCTGGAAACCAACTGTATCACTCCAATGCTTTCAAGTTTAGCAATAATACAGAGTTCTATTCTCCCAAAAAATAATTCTTTTAAGTAATGCACCTGTGCAGTAAAACTAATGAGGAAACTTTAAAGATGCAAAGAAAAAACAGCACAAATGGAAGAATTGTACAAAAAGACTTCAAAAGTAATATGGAAATTGCTACATGTACTTGATGACAGTAATGACATTAATCACTGTCATTCTGGAACCTGACTTTAAGTTGGCCTATAAAATTGAATAGAATAAAACTGGAAGGGACTTTGGAGGTCTTCTAGTCCATCCCCCTGCTTAAGCAGGAGAACCTACACCATCCCAGACAGGTGATTGTCTATTCTCTTCTTAAAGATCTCCAGTGATGGGGTGCCCACAATTTCTGGGGGTAGGTTGTTCCACTGGTTGATTGTCCTCACTGTCAGGAAATCTTTCCTTAAATCCAGGTTGCTTTTCTCCTTGATCAGTTTCCAATCATTGTTTTCTGTCCTTCCCTCTGGTGCTCTGGTGAACAACGTGACCTCTTCTGCCTTGTGGCAGCCTCTAGATACTGAAACACTACTATTATGTATCCCCTATTTCTTTTTTTCTTTAGACTAGCCAAATCCAGCTCCAGCAGCCATTCTTCGAATGTTTTAGCCTCCAGTCCTTTGATCATCTTAGTTGCTCTTCTCTCATTTTTTCTAAAGTCTCAACATCTTTTTTGTGATATGGTGACCAAAATTGGCTGCAGTATTCCAGGTGTGGTCTTACTATGGCTTTGTAAGGGAGTACTAGTACTTCACGTGATCTTGATTCTATTCCTCTGTTTATACAACCCAGGATTGTATTAGCTTTTATGATTGCTGCCCACACTGCTGGCTCATAGTCAAGTGATTGTCCTCTAAGATTCCAAGGACCCTCTCACAGGTATTTTTTTTAAACTGGGTTTCATCCAATCTGTATTCGTGCCTTTGGTTTTTCCTGCCTAAGTGTAGGATTTTGCTTTTCTCCATGTTGAAACTCATTTTGTTGGATAGGGCCCATTATTCAAGTTTGTCAAGATCTTTTTGGATCCTGAGTTTGTCTTCCTGGCAGTTTGGTATCATCTGCAA